GTCCTCTACCCGATTTCTTTTGTTACAGTTCTAAAAGTGTGTGTAAATGCAGGACGAATATCTGGTGGACCGTCATTTGACTGATTGGCCGGTGGTTGTATATAGGCTGTTTGTAGAATCAAATCTATGAGACGGCCTCCCAACTGAAAGTTTAATATACAACTTTTACATTTCCAAAGCTGCAACCTTGAAGCAATATCAACAAAAATAAATAAATAAATCACCTTTGCTTTAGCATCTTTGCCCCATGGATGAAACTCCATTTTTTTATTTACCAATTGCCTCACTGCACGCAACTTTTGCTTCTTCATCAGAGTTGTAACTCTTTTCCGCACGTTCTCTTGTTCTGGGATATTTACATCAGGTTCATCTTTTTCCTTTTCTGTATCTTTTTCAACCTTTTTCCGCTTTGTTTTCTCCAAGAAATAGCGTATTCTTGCCTTATAATTCATGAATTTTAAAAATCACTACTATTGCAAACAAAACCACGAGTATGATCAAGCAAAGGGCGATTAGCGGAGAAATAGACAAGAATCTTCACAACTTCTGTTTCCTAGCAAAAGCATTAGCCATATATGAAAGCACCACAAAATCAACACACTGCAAGGACTTGATCATCTTTAATTTAATTATTCTAAAACCCTTCGTGCTTGACTACCAGTCTGTTTTTGTTCCAACACCAACAACGCATTAACGATTAGTATGCATCCTATAACTTAATCAACCGAACCAATTCGGTATGGTGGAAACGTAAAAGATAGAAGATAAGGTACTGTTAAATGCAGGACTTAAAACTTATTGGCAGATGTAATTGCAAATATCAAAAGAGAATTTCAATAACTGAATGTATGCAATGCAATGCTTAAGTTAAGAACTAAAACCAGACTTATGAAAAGAGACTTAGAGGCATTACATGATTGCTTGAGCGATATAAAAGAGAATGACGACATTTTGGGAGCAGTTTCAATAGCAATACAATATGAAGTATTTTAACGGCGACATTCCATCGGAAACAGAGTATGAAATATTGCCACATGTGTAATCCAGAGACAAATGGGGTAGGTCAATATTTCTCAAGGTTTATCCCCACCAAGTTTCGCCTCACAAGGAGTCGAGGACACTTCCATAAATACTTCAGCTACATGGATTATAAATCCCATAAAATCATTTTTCTTTCTTCTTTTCCATTTCCTTTTAACAGGTAAGTTCACCAGGAGCCTATACTTATCATTAATCAAAGTATCTAGCAGGAACGAATTCCGGAAGTGACCTTTGGCCAATCTGCAGATTCCACTTTTATCCATATAATATCACGCAATGCGGATAATCTTTTACAGACACATCATACAAGGAAAGACCCATACATTAGAAATTTCATCACCATTGAACATACTACATCTTTAAATTTCTTATATTAATTCATCAACTAAAAACTACCTCATGATTATCAATTATCATTACTATACCAATCCAGATTATATCAAATAAACAGACAGTTTTGTCTGCTAATCAACCTACCTCCTGCTCAATTGTATCACCTATCACGCATGAGGCATGCACAACTTTCGCATAACCATACTCCCCACCAACCATCAACATGCCCACCAGCTTATGCATTGTGATAACCGCCACCATATCTGCTGACAAGTGGTCAAAGTATTTGGCATAAGCTGCTTTACACTTACCTTTCCTAATCAACTCCTGCTCCTGGGCAATCTTATCCCGCAAAGGCTCGAACCATCCCAGAAAGAGAGACTTCACATAAGGCAAATTAGGAGCCAATTTCTTCTCACACATGTCATTCAGGAGCTCCCTATACTCTTTTGCCGCTTGTTCCCAGGCCTCGGTTTCGACTTTCACTTGCCTCCTCCTGAGTGCTCTGTACTTTACTTTCCCAATACCTTTCACATTTCGCCTACTTTTCCACCAAACACGATAGTGTCTCCTTTCCTCTTTTTTGACCTCATTCAGGAGCTCTTGAACCTCATCGGAAAGAGGGGAATTTACATTACTACCCTCCACAGCGTCTGTTTGGGAGGAGGCCTCCGGTGCCTCCACCACCGCCTCAGCTACACTAACGTAGCTATTAAGGCACATGCCATTGACTTTCGATTGCGGAAACTCGTATGTATCGATAATATTCTGGAAGCCCACGGCTGGGAAACAGGCATTGGAGCGAGAATTGTGCTCAAACGTCGGCGTAAACTTGCACCTATCAGGAACCGGTGAATCCCGGCCGACACCAAGAAAGCTGTACGTGCGAGAGATTGAATGCGAGCTCAGAGAAAGCTTTGACGGCGTTATCGAGCTGATTTGCTTCGTGATGTTTCTGCACATAACTGTGGAATCATTATGTGACTTGTGAGAAGGGGTTTTTGAATGATAAATCTCGAGGCTGAGATGAAAGGGGGGTGTTGTGCTGCACATCAAATCAAATTGCAATTAAGGAAAAATCACCAACAGGACTTTGATTATCGAAACAAATGATGGATCAACGAATATCACTCTCTGCTCGTCTCCTGTCAAGAATGGCGAACGTTTCGAGAAGAATTTCGATCACAATGTCTCGTTAACACTGGCCGACTTGAAAGTTAAAACCCTCCTTAAATCTTGCGGTACGCTTTCGGGTTCGGATGCAAGATTGGGCCTTGTACACGTTGTCCATGTGTATTTTGAGCTTTTCGACTAGTATTCGACCTGTGCATTTGCACAAATGTAAATAAAGTATTGTGAGTTATTTGTATGCATATGATGATTAATTATTTTTCTTTCACCCTTTTGCTGACTAAATTTACAATTAAAGGAGTTGGAATATCTATTTTCTTTTTTTATAATTGCGTTTATCTGATTGGATGTAATGTATATTTTTGTACGTCTTTTTTATGAATTATTTATTATTTATTTAAGAATTTCAAATATGTTTTTTATTTTAAAAATAATAATAATTTAAATTTAACCACAATTATAACATCTAATCACATTATACGGTAAACACATTGTATGGTCAACTGACAACAATCAAAAGTTTAAAATGATTTTTGTAATTTTAAAGTGATTAGTGTTGATTATTTAATAATTAAATGAAAGATTAAATACATCAAAAGTAACGAATTTTGGAGGGAAACGGGTTAAATTGCCACATAGGTAAAATTAAATAGGTTTTATTAAATGTTATTAGCTAGTAATTATATATATATATATATAAATTTCGGGGGATTATGTTATGTGGCGGTGGCCGATTTTTCTCCGGAAATTGCTTTTTGTCATTTAGTGGGACGATTTTATTACAACATGAATGAATTGTACAGTGAGATGCAAAGGAGTTTGTGATTTGTATATACATTGGAAATATTTAAATTTAATTACTTGTTGTGTTGTATATAATATGGGAAATATTTAAATTTAATTAATTATTGTGGATTTTTCAAAATAGCTATTTTAAATTTAAGTGTGTATTTAATTGAGATTTTTAAAAAAATTTGAAGAATTTTTAAGACTTTGAAAATTATGGTATAATTTAATTTAGAGTTCTCAAGACTTACAAAATTATTGAGATATTCATTTGGTATTCATCCCGATGTATTTAATTATTTGAGATTAAAATTTGTTAAAACTTTCTAAGATTTGTTGGAATTTCTAAAGAAATAAAACATATAATAAAACTCACGGTTTTGCTATGAAGCCAACAGTTGGCTGCATAGTGGAGCCAACCTTCTATACACAATAAATAAACCTACCATAGTAATAAAATTATATTAGTGTTATTTAAGTAATTATAAAATATAGTAGGTTTATTTATTGTATATAGAAGGTTGGCTCCACTATGGAGCCAAATGTTGGCTTCATAGCAAAACTGCTAAAACTCATTACAAATCTCACATCCAAACTTAAAATTTCACAAGATTCCTCTAATTTAAAATTTTCAAATCTCGAATAGCCTTTAAATGTCACTCGGAATTCCAAACGAATACACCTACTTGTCGTGGATTTTACAAAAACTACTTGCTAAAGAAGTATGAATACCTAGTTGCCACTTAAAATTGGTAAATTTTACTAAATGTAGTTAGGACTATATTGTCGAAAATTTTTACTAAAATCAAAAACAACTTTAGTTACTAAAAAACAAAGTATCATAAATTAGTGAGAATAAACAGATAAAATATTGTGAGTGAATCAATTTTTTTATTATTAAAAAAATTATTTTCAAAATTCAAAGGTACTAAAGATAATAAGGAAAAAAGAGAAATGTAACGGCTACACAGTAAATGAAGTTTTGACCAATATTAACATAGCAACACATTAATACAAATCAAATATGTTTTTATAATAAAATAATAATAAAAATAAAATTAAAAAGTAACGGTTTTTGGCGGGAAAGTGCCACGTAGGTATAATTTAATAGGTTTTATTAAATGCTTATGAGCCAGTAATTATATATATATATAGATTTTGAGAAAATTAGTTAGCTCACTATTAAATTTCACGTTTTTTTTTTTTGGTACAAATTAAATTTCACGTTAATTACATATTTACACATCATATATTTTATTAGTAAAATTATTACATCTATCTTATTTCTTTGCATATATACCAAAATTCAAGTCTAGTCGTATTTATACATAATTAATAATTATTTAAGGTAGTTGCTTATAACTTATAACTCTCCTGATTTATGGGATTAATTTTTTGCAACATCCATTGACTTTATATTCTCCCTACGCGCCGGTGTAGAAATTCCTTATGAGGCACTTGGAAGATTCCTCACGATGAAGAACACGCGAGCCCCTCGATACGCAGGTTTTGCATACGCCATCTCTAGTGTTTCTATTCTTCTTCTTCTTCTTCTTTTGTTTCATCCTTGATGTCATTATCAAAATCTGAAGTTTATTCCACAAAATAGATCGAGTTCTCGTTAGGGAGCAACGTGAGTCGCTCGACTAGCGGCGACGTGACCGGAGATGAGGGATCAATGTGGTGGCTGGAATGAAGATATCCATCGTGCATACATCTCTAGCGACGACGACGTTGACGTCGACATACAACCATTAACGGAGGTAGTCGATAGGTCAAGGATCTGCGAACAACGTAGATGCGCAGTAGAAACTCGATCCATCACGCACCAGTGACGGAGGGTCGAGCCGGTGGAGTTTGTCCCAGGCGACGTGACAAGATGAACGGTGCCCCCGTTTTTTGATCGACAGTGGTTCATATGACTCGTCCAAAAGAGACGACGACTGGTGGCGGTGTTCTGTCGAGCACCTCAAAGACGAGCTGTTGTGGCTTTGGTTGTGGGCTCATCTCGAAAAGGTGGTCGTGGAGTCTCAATGACGCAACAACATGTTGGGATCTATGAGGATCTCGTTATGTACAAATCACGAATTCAATAGTAAATGTAAACCTATGCACAACGGATCTA